ATGGAAGGGAAAGCAGGAGCCAAATAGAGCTACCCCCCCACACACACACCCACACACAAAACACTCTGATGAGAAAAGCAGTGGAGGGTGAATTCCATCTGCAGAGAAGCTATTCAGATGTCAAGTGCAGAGCCTACAACAATGAGCTAAAGTACCTTAAGTTCTGCAGCCTCCCCCCCCCATCTGACATCAAAGAAAGTGTTATTCGCAGTGTCTAATAGCAAGACCATAAGAGTATTGTATTTGCCAAGTAATTGGCCAAGACTATAACAGGGTTAAAAAAAAAACTAGATAATTTCATGGAGGATAGGTCCATCAATGGCTTTTAGCCAGAATGGGCAGGGATGGTGTCCCTACCCTCTGTTTGCCAGAAGCTGGGAATGGGCGACATGGTTTTAGATCTTCAACTTTTATGGTCCTATTTCTGTCTCTCATGTGGCTAGTGCTGTTCTGTTCATTCCCTCTGAAGCACTGGGCATTGGCCACTGTCAGAAGACAGGATACTGGGCTAGATGGACCTTTGGGTTGACCCAGTATGACCGTTACTTTGTTCTTATGTTCTGTTGTTACGTCTATTGCCTGCTACTGTAACTTATCATTTATGAAAGTGTTTGACATAAAGTAATTATTTTGGCAAATAAGCCAATCACACAACGATGTTGTGACGGATGTGGATTTTTCTAAGGATGGACGGTATAGTTCAGATGAGATGCACACAAACCTAAACCGAATATTGATTTGAAAGGTTAGGCCAGGACATGTGCCTTCCACTGTCCCCCATCACTGGCAGGGACGGCTCTCTGTTTTTTGCCACCCCAAGCACAGCAGTCAGGCGGCCTTCGGTGGCGCGCCTGCGAGTGGTCCATTGGTCACGCGAATTTGGTGGCGTTTGTGTGGGTGATCTGCCGGTCCCGCGCCTTCGGCGTACCCGGTGTCGAATTGCCGCCGAAGTTGCGGGACCGGCGGACCTCCCGCAGGCATGCCGCCGAAGACTGCCTGTCTGCTGCCCTCACAGTGACCGGCAGGCCGCCCCCCACAGCTTGCTGCCCCAGGCACGCGCTTGCTGCACTGGTGCCTGGAGCCGCCCCTGATCACTAGTCATTTGGGCTCCATCAACTCTGTGCAGCCACAACTCCATCTCACCACAAGTGAAGCCCATTGCACAGGCCAGCTCTGCAATTTCATTGTTGCTGAATCCATCAGCCACCCTATGGAGTGCATTTAACTCTTGGACATATTGGTATAACTTGCCTCAGCTTCCCCAGCTGTAAAATGTGGCTAACAATGTCTATCCAGTGCTTTGAGCACTGCAGATGAAAAGCACACTATAAATGCTATGTGTTTTATTATTAGTATTATGACTAATGCTAAGCTAATTTGAAGTGGAGCCTAGCAGAGAGATTAGGCCCTGTTGGAACTTGGAAATAGGAGGAGGGCTTTAATGAGGCCTGGTCTCCTTAATGTGGAGCAAGTAGGGTTGGTGAAGGAGGAAGAAGGATCTCTGTTGTCCTGTGGAGGAGCTGGAAGAGAGAAAGGTCTTTGGTGGTTCCCCTACTGGGGGCATTGGCCTTCATGTTTTTCCCCTCTCCAATAAGGGGTTGCTATGGAGTGAAAGGTAGAAGGTTAGACTCAAACTCTTCCTCCCAAAAGAAGGATCAAGTTTCTTCTTCTGCGCACTTCTCCCAAGAAAACAAGCAGAGAGGAGTTGCTGATATCAAACTTCCTCTGCATAGAGGAACTAATAGTGGGTATCAGAAAGAAGCCATAATTATGAATCCACTATAGGGAAGGCCTCAAACAATGCAGATTTTCATTTTTTATTGTTCCAAGGATATGCATAGCCTTTCAACACTAAATAAAGACAGCTTCCCTGCCCAAAACCACAGCAAACACCAGGTCACCAGGATGAGCTGACATCACATAAAGGCAAAGAAAATAAAAATGTCTGATGCTTTACCCGATAGGCTATCAAGGCTCCTCCAGAAATGCCCTCCCTAATTTTGGGTAAGAAAAAGAATGTTTGGTTGTTTTCTGTACCTCACCCCTGAACTTTTTCAGTTGTGCTGGACAAACTTTCAGAGGTTTAAAGTTCAAGACAAGCATCCAAAAGTTCATATGTGTGTCTTACTTAGCCAGTGTTTTTCAGTCTCAATCCTTTCCAAGCCATGACAACCTCTCTTTCACATGATCCCCTACCTCAACATACCCTAGCTCCTTCCTATTGTGGTGGAAGATCTACCTAAAGGCTGGAAAAAGAGGCTTCCTAATGTCTCTATTCAGGGTAGTGGAAATGCCCTACTGGGTACAGTTTCTTCTATGTTTATCTTCAACAGCTTGGGGGCTGGAACTTCAGAGTGTAGGGTTCATGTGTTCCACATCTCCCTTTGAGAAGTCAAATAAAACAGGACTGTCCCCCACGCCCATGCAAGTTTGGGGTACAAATTCTATGAGTATACAGATACTCATAGAGAAGTTTGTAAGCACTTGTATGCTCGTAAATCCTGTATGCTTATCCCTGGGATGATCTTTGCTATTATTTTTAGGGTACCTGTTATCATGGTATCTTGCAATATATGTGAATGAAAAAAGCTACTGTACCAAATACATTCTCTCACAAAGCAGATATAGTTCAGCCATAAAGGGACAGCAACTCCTGCATGGCTCAGGCATGAGAACCACAAGTTCTCTTCCCGCCCCCCCCGCCCTCCCAACCTCTCCAGCTCACTCATGAGGAGGAGCTTTTGGAGTCCTTGGGGGTTATTTTCATTTGCTGTGGTAGGTAGACCATTCGTATCAAGGTCATGGCTATTGGTGCTGGATAAGGCCCTTAGATCAGAAAAGGTTTCCATTTTGATGTAACAAAGCATATTGTGAATGTTAAATAAGGACTGCCATGGAAAGAATGGACATATCTACTTCTGTCTTTACAATCTATATGGCAACAGTTACTGTATGCGTCTGACGAAGTGGGTATTCACCCACGAAAGCTCATGCTTCAATACATCTGTTAGTCTATAAGGTGCCACAGGACTCTTTGTTGCTGTAAAACTAGTGCCTTTTCAAGTGCTTCCTTTAATTAAAGTGCAGAATTGACCTCAAGGGTCATGCTGAATCCTGTGACTCCTTTTGAATCCATTTTGGGTACAGTTTCTCTGCTTGACTGTTAATTTGAGCACTCATGGAAAATCTCAGGATTACTTGATTTTCTCTCTCTTGTATGCAGTCTTGTGGCGACCTTAAAAGCATTAACTTGTAAGGTCACAGAATTATTTTAGCTGTGGATCAGTTGCTTAATAACAGTTACTTTAGAGTCATGTAATCATGCAAGCAGCAAGGCTCAAGTCAGTCTTTCATTTTCTGCTTATATATTAATGGACTTAGCCACCCTATGCACAGAAAAAACAAAGCAATTCACAGAAGGGTTTGACATTTTGGAGTAAGTCTTCCAAATCACATGGAGGAGTGTGTGTTTGCAAAAATAATTAGCCATTTTGTCTACCCATTTGTCCATATCAAATCCTGCTTGGACATAAAGCATAAATATAATCACCTCCTACACAGTAAAGGCAGAATCTGACAGTATTTTACTATAAGTAGTTAGTAGCTTGGCTTTGACTATATAAGTTCTATCTTAAATAGACTGAACAAGTTTACAGGTTGCACTAACCAAATGCTAATAATAGATTTTTTTATAGTTATAATTTCTGGTGGATAAAAATTCAGCCTCATTAAAAAGGAAACTTTCTCTTGATAAAATATTAACTGTTCCATAGGCAAAATGGTTGGTTTTGATATTACAATGATTTTGATGTCTGTATTTTTTAATGCCAGAAATATTTATGATTCTAAATAGGACAAAGTATGGGTGAAATGTTAAAACAAAACAAAACAAAACAAAAATCCTAACAGAGCATAGGTTCCTGCCACATGATAAACAATTGTTGAATGATGTTTATTAAATTGGCTCTCAAGTGACAGATAATAAATGCATAGTTCTATTATGCATACTAAATTCACCATGCTGAAAACTTAAAAGCAGATAGATCAAAACAACTGAGATAAAAAAAAAATCATGAAGACAAAATACAGCAACATCAGTAACTGACAGGGAAATAATTCAGACTTTAAAATGACTTCTTATTTAGTAATTTGTAACAACAATTTATGAAACTAAATTAGAGGCAAGTCAGAGTTTTTCTGCTTTTTAGATTTGCTGTTTTTAGTGTATATAGTTTGAACAGACAGCAGAGGAATTCAGATTCTAAGTGGCCTTTAAAAAGGCTGCAAAACCAATTCCTCCATGTTTTTGCTGCTGGGTTCTATTATTTATTAATGGACAGTGTTTAATTCTTGAAAGGGGCAAAAAAGATTCAGGACAATTCATGTGCTAATCTATTCCATGCAGTCACTCCCCAACCACCACACCATTGCTTCAGTCTTTGAAGAAGTTAAAGCTGTCAGTTATGTTGTACATTTCCCAGTATAATGTATCCCAAACCAAGTTACACAAAGTTGTACAAACACTGAAGGCTATGGGCTCTGTGTTCTTTCCTGTAAGCACTGCTCTGGTTCTTTGGCATTGCACAGATTTGTGTTGATGACGGGATATGTGACTGTTGCTCTAACTATGCATTTTAACCTTTGTTTCTGAAAGGTGAAGGGCAGGATTTTTAATCAAGTAGAAATTTATCTTTAATTATAAAAAACATAATTGGCATTATCATCTAATTGCAGTTACTGATAGAGAAAGTCCAATTTTCACAAGTAGTGACCCATGCTGCATTATCACTCTACTGTTACTCTGTTATGAAGCTGTATTTGTATTTGGCAGCCAGCCAGCAAAAATTAAAAGGTAATCAAAATGCTTCTCTGCAGTCCAGTTATCAAAGTCACTGACTACAGCTGAGTAAATAACAAAGTCAACCTTTAGTGTGACATCTTATCAGGAACCTTTCTTCAGAAGTCTCTACATCTATTGGTAAGAAATCAAATGACATTCTAAATAATTGCATGCAAAAAAACCCTTGCAAAATAGGTTAGAAGAATTGTTCTCTATATCTTCTGGTGTTGAGTTAAAAATCAGTTTAATGTTTCAAGGCACCACCACGGTTAGAATTTTATACCTGCAAATATTCATCTAATGCACTATTATACAGTAACGTCAATGTATTAATAAATAGTTTGTGCAATTCTGAGAAGCAATCTATAAAGGAATGTTAGCTATACAGTAGGCACATATATTATAATACAAATAGAAAACAAAATTCCTAGAAAAAGCATGTTGAGCACCTTTGTGGTATGGGTTATATTTCTTGTGCTAAACACTATGTAAACCTTAACTTACAAAAACTGAACTCTCACAATAATTGGTTATTTAAATCTTTCTTTTCTGGGTAGTTTGCTCTAGGTCATGGGATCACTCTTAGGGGCAGAAGCCTCTGTCATTGGTTGTAATGGGCTGTCTTGTTCACTCAACTGTAAGCTCAAGTTTTCAGAAGTTAGAAGGGAAGAATTAAAGACAATTTCACTTAAGTCTGATTTTATGGATACTAAATGTGGATCTTGAAAACTTAAAGTTTTCTCCACTAAAACCTGTGTATTTTCTCGTGTCATTCCCATGTCTGATGGCGACTTCCTTTTCATTCTTGTGTATGATTTGTCCAGATTCTCCATGCCTTGCTCAGTTTTCTGAAATCGCCCAAAGAACCAGATGAAGAACCCAAACAAAGCAAAAGCCAGCAAACATGGAATAAAGGCCAGGCATTTGACATCAAGGCTAGCCCCTGTATATCTGCTATGCAAGAACATGTCTCCCTCAGCATAAGTCCTGTTAGTCAGAGGGTTTGTGTTATTTGATCTCCAATCCCAGGATAACTTGGTTCTGTTAAGGTCCTTTAAGCTTTCTGAGTCCTCCACTGTGTAGATCTTCTGTCCGGGACCAATATATTGACCATATTCATGAGGTTTGTAAAATATTTGATTCTTCCACATATTTAGATCCAGGATTAAAACCAGAAAGATAATTCCATAGTTAAACCATTTACCTGTTTGAAAAAAGAAAACAGTGTCATCTGATGTCCTTTTTATAAGTATCACAACCATGCCGATAGAGTAAATGCCCCTCAGATAAAAATTTTCTTTCAATTAACCTGTAAAACAAAGTTATAATGAAATTCTCAGCAGATCCAGATTTATTCTTGAATCTCTCTTAGTATTTCATAATTATGTCTAGGCACGTAATAAATCATTTTGTAAAACAGTACAACAGTATATCAATTGAATTCACACTGCAGTTTGTAGGTGACCTGTTGATTAAACCATTAGGTGATGTGGTTTACATCAATCAATCTAAAAAGAACTCATTTCAGGATTTTAAAAATAGTTGCATGAAAATTCTCCTTGAAAAGGCTACATTTGATAGAACTCTTTGTATGCTAGTGGTGAGATGCTTTGAAAGGATGACAATTATATTGCTTTAATAGTATGTACTGTGATTGATTAGTTCTCATGCAGTGAAGCCCAGACATATGTACGTGGGAGGTATGGTGGTCCTGAGACATGGTATACAAAGTACATACAAGATACTACTTTATTAACTCTATTCTTTGTATCGATGCCATTGAAGTATTGTCAGAGCCTACTTATTAACTGGAACCATATAAAGATCTTACCTTGACATTGTATTAGCAGTGTCCAAGAACTCATCACATACAGTTAAAGACATTTTAGGACCGTGGATGCACAAGTATATCTAACTGCTGCATTATGTGATTTTGCACATAAGACACTAAGGAGTAGTTTTGCTAGTCATCACTAATGTTGATATTCATTTTTAGTAAATAAAAATATACACATGAAAGAGAATCTCAAAGATGAGTTACTTTATTGGTTTGGTAATCGGTGGTGTGGTTGAAATTACTGTCAGGCTGTGCACTCATGTTCTGCCATTAATTTGAATGTCTCAGTAAAGTAACCCCTTATAGTTTGGTATTTGTATTTATGTTTTTAAAGGGCTTTTTTAACCCAGATGGCCATTCTGGATGAGAATAAACATGAGCATTAATTTTCTTGTGGTATTGCCCTATCCAGAAACTAAATTACTGAAAAACCAGGGAGGAAATTCTGCTGTCAGTTTCAACATTATAAGTCCTCACGAACACCACTGAAGCTATTGGTATTATTCTGGATTTTCACCAGCATAGCTGAGAGCAGAAGTTAGCCCCATATTTCCTATTACTTTAGTCCCTTAATTGGTCCCTGAGACATTAATAATACTCATAAAAATTTAAAATAAACACAAAATACCAAGAAACACAAATACAAATTCTAAACCACCATGCCCCTAGATGAAAAACTAGGATTTTATTGCACCCAAAACATCTTTTGTGCCTGTCAGTTACCTTTGCAGTCCTGACTGCAACAGTAACCTGGTTTGTAATATTTTATGGCACCACACTCATCATCAAACCTCTGCTATATTTTTCACTCTGAATGTAAAGGTTCCTGCTGGGTTGCACATACAGTTCAGTTTGCATGCCAAGCTCAGAGTTGGAAATAGGCTCACTAGTGGTTTTCACACCTCCTCCTACACAGGCTATGAGGCCATCACCTGCATTCAGGAGGGTCCTCTAATGCCTCTTCAGCCTGCCTGGAAGAGCTACCTCCTCACATGCTTTCTTCTCTGATTGGCACCACGAGAAACAGGCTATGTTGCTGTGCTTTTTGTTTCTATGGAAACAAGGCAGGCGCTCTGCAGAGAGCCTTGCTAGGTGAAGGGGATGGTAGGAAATGGGTGGACTGTTATGGGCATTTGTAGGAAGAGTATAATACTTTGCTTCAGGCTGACACACCTGCAAGTGAAGAGGGATAGGAGGAGTAATGGAAGAGATTGAAATTAGGGAAAAAATTAAGCATAACGCAATATATGTTATACTGAGACTGCCACTCCTGTATAGAGCTGTAGATGTCCAGTCTAAAAGGGACCATTACGAGTCTAGACTCCTGCATAACACAGACCAAAGAACATCACCAAATAATTTCAGCATCAGGTCCATAACATCTAGTTGGGCTAGAGCATATCTTTTAGAAAGACATCCAGTCTTGATTTAAAGACTTCAAGTGATGGAAAATCCACCACATCATTCGGTAAGTTGTTATAATGGTTAAATCCCTCACTGTTAAAAATATTTGCCCTTTATCTAGTTTGAATTTGTCTAGCTTCAGCTTCCAGCCATTGGGTTTTCTTATGCCTTTGTCTGCTATATTAAAGAGCGCCTATCAGAAATATCCTTCCTGTATAGGTGCTTATGTCCAGATCCTCAAATGTATTTAGGGGCCTAACACCTATCCCATGGGTGTGGGATCTGTGCCTTAGAGACTGCGATCAAGTTACCTCTTAACCTTCTTTGTTATAAACTAAATAGATTACGCTTCTTAAATCTCTCACTACAAAGCAAGTTTTACAGACTCTGAATCATTCTTTTGGCGCATCTCTGAACCATATGCAGTCTTTCAACACATTTCTTAAAGTGTGGAGACCGCAACTGAATACTGTATTTCAGTAAAAGTCTACTAATGCCATATACTGAGTTCACACCACTTTCCTACTCACAATTCTTCTATTCATTGCATCCAAGGATTATGTTAACCCTCTTAGACATAGAATTGCACTGTGAGCTTATGTTCATGTGCTTATCCAGCTACGTTCTTTTTAGAGTGGCTTCTTTCTAGTGTAGCCCCTCCCTCGAAGCATAGCCCAAGCCTCCTCCCTGATGCTGGCCACTTAGAGTGGCTTTTCCCCTCTCCTCATGTGAATAGGATCCTGTTATTTTTTTCTGATGCTGGATGCCTTCACCCAAGGTGACTCTTCACTGTGCCAGAGAAACATGCCCCTTGGGAAAAAATGCATAATGCTACTAATGGGCAAGGAGTATAAAATCTAGTACATAAGAGACAACAAAATACAGCAACAGAACCCCAGCAAAAGAATGACACACCCAAAACAACAATATAACAAAGGGGGACTTTATTGGGAGCAGGAAAATAGGATGTGGGGAAGGCAAAGGTTTGCCTTGTGCTAGCACATCAAGAAACAGGTTCTAGCACATTAGCAAATCAACAAATGCCCCACTTCCCAACACTCACAGCTCTTCCCGACTACTAGCTCCCGGCCTGCCAGCTTCCCAGGCAAGTGTGCACTGAAGATGAGTCCAGAGACAAGTGCTGCAGTGCTGTCAACGTTGGGCAGCTTAAACAAAAATGGTCCTCTTACTGTGTCTTCATTCCTGGGTAGGGCAGGGTCCTCCCCTGCAGGGTCGTAACTAGGGTAGGGCGAAAGGGGCAGCCACCCAGGGCAGAGAGCCAGTGGGGGCGCAAAAAATGGGGCAGCGTAGGATTAGGACCAGTGGTGCCAGCCCCTCCCCCCGCAGGATTGGGTGCAGCAGCGTCGGCTGGAGTCCATGGTGTAGGCTGGGGCAGGGAGGGCATTGCCCCCTCAAACAGAGGCCCGGGCTGGGAATGGAGGGGGTTGTCCAGAGCTGCTTCTCCTGTCAGGTGTTCGGTGCCTCTGTAGCTGGACGCCGCCTCCTGGGTCCCAGTGCTGGTTGTCTTTCCCTTCTACGTGTGCTGGGCACCCTACATGGCCACCATCCTGTTTTCTATACAATGGTTAATGCCTGCAAAGGGGGGGCCGGAGGGTGGGATATGGTGGAAGGGGGGGTGAGGTAGGCGGAAGAGTCAGTGGGGAAGGAAGGGGATGGGATAGGAGAATGGGGGGAAGTGAGAGCCTTCCCCCCCACCAAGCACTGGCAGCCCAACTCCAGTGCATATCCCTGCTGCAGGTACCTCCTCCAGGGCCCTCCAAATGCCCCCTCCAATAATCCCTAAATATTCCTCCCAGTACACAGACACCCCCAGCACCCTCCCAAATACCCCCTCCAGTTCCTCCCCTCCCGCCCGCACCCCCAGTAGTGTCCTCTATTTGGGTACGTGAAATATGGTAACCCTAGAGGTTGCTCCATTCTCACAGCCCTGGTTTCCAGAGCTGGCGGGAGCGAGTCAGCCCTGCCAGCAGCCGCCTGCCCCCAGCACCGGGGCTGGGCACTAGGCTCATGCAATGGCTGTGTGACCACAAGCCTGGAAGCCATGGGGCTGGGGCAGGGCAGCCAAGGGAAGCAAGGGGAAGTTCTGCTCTGCGCGCAGGGAGTGTGGGGAAAGTGACCCGGCTGCAATGGCAGGTCCCTGGGTGGGGACTGGGGTGTGACGGGGTTGCTGAGAGGCAGGTGCCCAAGGGGGATGAGTACTCCAGGGAGCTCCTCAGGGAGCATCTCATGGCAGCCAGGCTCCATGGGCAGAGGCTGGCTCCAGGGGGGATCACCGGCTGGCACCAGGCTCCTTTGGGACAGAGGCAAGAGTGTGTCAGGGGCACAGCGCAGAGCAGTGCTGCCCACCCTGCCTGGGGAGCGCCCGGCCATGCAGAGGTGGCCCAGCTCAGGGAGCAGGGCAGGGAGGGCTTCCAGGCAGCCAGCCAGCACCCCAGCTCCCACAGCACAGAGAGCCAGGAGTCCGAGCAGGCTGGGCAGCTCCCACCAGCTTCCGATCTGCTGGCTCCTGGCAGGAGGCGATGGTTTTCAAACTGTGGGGGTGCAACCACTAGCGAGGCGTGCCCCACAGTTTGAAAATCTCTATGCTAAATGAGAGGCAGAAATCTGGGGGGAGCACGTGACCCTGTGTGCCCCACACATGTCACGTTTAGGGGGCGCAAATATGATTGCTCATCCCAGGTGCTAAAATGCTCACCTGGCTCCCAGTCCGAAGTCCTGTGGAGGTCTCGGCTGGTTCTCAGTAGCCAGCACCAGGTCAGATCTTTGCCGCTCTGGATGCTGGTCTCAGCAGGGCTGGAACTGCCTGACTCAAAGACTGGATTCCACAGCAGCTCAAAGCCCCCATCTATGGGGAATGGGACCTAAGCTGTTCTGCTTCTCTCTCAGCTCCCAACTCAAAAGAAGCTGAAAACTGAAACTAAACCTAGTCTCTTTGCCTCTGA